GTGCCCAGGAAATCTACACCCCTCCTTTTGTTATGAAAGTAGTCTGTCCTGGCCTACGGTTTGCTCAGGCACTGTCAGCCAAGCACTGCTAGGCTGAGGTTTCCGGGTCTCACACTCTGGGGTCCCACAAACCTGGCAGATCCTGTCTCCTCTCCTCCATACCTCAGCCTCTGATGCAAGAGAAAGAGCATTTAGGGGGTCATGGCCAGCCGGCTGCAGAGGCTCTCTGTCTAGACTCAGGCTGCTTTTGTTCCCTCCTGGCTGCAGACATTTGGGCAGCGCCTGTACCAGCAGTACACCTGCTACACTGTGTTCTTCATCAGCATCGAGATGTGCCAGATCGCTGACGTCCTCATCCGCAAGACGCGCCGCCTCTCTGCCTTCCAGCAGGGCTTCTTCAGGTGTCCTTAGCCCAGTCCTGCTCCACCCTGCCCTCCAACCCCTGGTCCCAGTACTACAACCACCAAATGCCAGTGTCCAATATACTGGTTCCAAATGCTTACATGTGGCACCTTTCCTTTCCCTCCCATCCCCTCCCTCCCTCCTTCTTTCCATAGAGTCTTACTCTGTAGCTCTGGGTAGAGTGCCACAGCATCATAGCTCACAGCAACCTCAGTCGCTTGGGCTCAAGCGATCCTCTTGCCTCATCCTCCCGAGTAGCTGGGACTACAGGTGCCCACCACAATGCCCAGCTAGTTTTTTTCTATTTTTGGTAGAGAAGGGGTCTTGCTTTTTCTCAGACTGGTCTCAAACTTCTGAGCTCAAGTGATCTTCCCACTTTAACTTCCCACCGTGCCTGGCCTCTGAACATTTTCTTATATTCAACAGCTCCCACCACATGCCTCTCATTGGCTCCTGCATATTTCACTAACTAATGGGGTGATGCTGACAGGGCCACCACCCACTGTTGGAGAGGCCCAGGCCACTCCAGGGTTAGTTGTTTAGAACATCTTGCTGATGACACCTGGCCTAATACCCCGATTTCCATCTGGTCTCCAACTTTTGATGGCCTTATCTTCATCCCAAGCCTGCCAATCTGAGCCTGTCCCATCCTTTCCCACCCCCAGGAATAAGATCCTGGTGATTGCCATCGTGTTCCAGGTCTGCATCGGCTGCTTCCTATGCTACTGCCCTGGAATGCCCAACATCTTCAACTTCATGCCTATTCGGTGAGGGGTTGTGAGGTGCGAGCACAGGGGTGGGGGTATGGGACACTGACTGGGGAATAGCCTTCACCTTGCCATCTCACTTGTGCCTTCAGGTTCCAGTGGTGGCTGGTCCCCATGCCCTTTGGCCTCCTCATCTTCGTCTATGATGAGATCCGGAAACTTGGAGTTCGCTGTTGCCCAGGGAGTGAGTGTGGAGACTGACTGGGGGTGGAGGGCTGAAACATTTTCAGAGCAGCTGCAGTAAACTTTGATCCTCAACACTTGACCTCCAAGCCCTTGACCCTCCATATCAAACTGCCACTGAATTCCCCCTGCTCCAGCACTGAGTCTCCTTCCTCTCTCGTCCAGGCTGGTGGGACCAGGAACTCTACTACTAGAGGAATGGCTGCCTTCTACCATCTCTGCATCCACCACAGCCAGGTGGGGGCGTGGCTCATGGGACCCTCTGGACAGCAACCGAAACATACGCACCATCAAGAATTCTAGCCCCACTTGTGTCCACATCTTTAGCCCATGGCATCCCAGCCTTGCAGGGACCCATTTCTCTTCCCTATCCCCAAGGTCTCTACTATCTTGGAGAAGTAGTCCCTGGACACAGTCCTCTGAGCTGGCCTTGACAAACCCCATCTGAAGTGCTAGGGCTTTAATATAGGGAGCAGCAGCTCCTGGTAGTGTGTCTGTCCTTAGAGGACACCAACCCAGGCAAAAGGCTGCCTGGAGGTTCTTCACTAAAAAACACCCTTGTGTTCTGCACAATAGTAATAAAGCCGGCTCACACTGACTGTGCCTTTATTTGGTGTCAAGCCCTATCTTAAGCGGTTCTCATTAGCACCTTTGATCCTGCAGGATCTCCTACAAGCCCACAAAATAGGGGCTGTTTGTCCAGGGCTTGTCTCTAGGATAGAACACAGCCTGGCATATAGTAGGTACTCAATAAACCTTCCTTGGAGAAATGATTCCCATTTCCTGGTCTAGGATTACAGCACTTATAGGCAAGCTGTAATGTGACCACAGTTGCCCTCTAGTGTGAGTGCCTTTACCTGCTCTTCTACACAGACTGCCACCTCTGGACTTTGTTCTCAGCACCCCTTCGCCTTCCTGCAGGCTGTGTGACACAAGAGGGTTCAAGTCTCTTTCACATCAAGTGTCCCCTATCCACACCCTTCATAGGTGTCGCCACTGACTCTACTTGTTCACTTCTTTGTCCCGGCAATGGTCAGTCTCTGACCAACTCCTGGAGGTCCCTTATGCATTCCCCGTCACCTGAAAAGTTAATCCCTTCAACTACCAAAACTCCCCTGCCCTCCCAACCTCTAGCCTCTCCTTCTCCCCCGACCCTTTTTATTTTCAGCATCAGAGGTACAACACTGGATCTCTTCTCCATTCTGGAGTTTCTCTGGTTGGGTCCTGGGCTTCTCCTTCCTCTTCACCAAAGCTCCTTAAGCCCCTGATGGCTTCACTTTTCTCTGCAGTGGTGCTCCCATCTGTCTTCAGCCTCCCCCAGTGGATCTAAGGCAGAGGGTTCTCAACTTGTGGATTGCGACCCCTTTGTAACAATGAAAATACATCCTGCATATCAGATATTTACAATTCATAACAGTAGCAAAATTACAGTTATGGAGTAGCAACGGAAATAATTTTATGGTTGGGGGTCACCACAACATGAGGAACTGTATTAAAGGGTCGTGGCATTAGGAAGGTTGAGAACCACTGTTCTAGGGTGACTCCTACTGGTCTCTGCATTACTCCCTCAAACCCGCTCCCCTCCACAGTCCTCTGTGTGCTTTCCCCTCCCTAGGAAACAGTAAGCCCAAATTTGTTAGCTGGACTTCTTTGCTTCTTCCTTGTCATCTCCCCATTGCACCCCCTGTTGATTAAAAAATACACTGACCACTGATCCCCAGTGCCTCTCTTTGGCTTCTGGCCACTGTTCCTAACCCAGCTAGCTCTGCTCTGGTCTCCTGGCCTCATGCCTCTCTTCCATACAATGGTCATGGAGGGCTTCCTAGAGACAGGTCTGGCTTCTTTCCTCTGCCTAGAACTCTCCAGGTTCCTTTCTACCCCCAGTTAACTCCCCAGCCAGCTTTCAGAGCCTTCTGTGATCTGGCCCCTGACAGCTCCTGCAGTTGCACAAGCCTCCCTGAATTGCTGCCAACCAGTTATGTTCCCTGGAAAAGCCAGGCCCTCTCTATGACTGCAAGACCCTTATACCTGCCTTCATCCTTCCTTTTCTCTGCCCCACTAGCTCATTCTTCAGGTTTCAGTTCACATATACTTGCCTCAGAGGAGCCCACACTGCCTCTAGGTCAGGACTTCTCTGGGCGCTTATAACCTGTGTTTTCCCATTGCAACACTGATTGCTACAGTCTGACTTATCCCACCCCACCACTGCCCAGGCTTCATCAGCACAGTCCTGATCACTCTGGCCTGTGCTCCTCCTATCTGGGCCTTAAACACTCTAGTTTCTCCCCCTGAGCACCACCAAATTGGAATTATTTCAGGCAGCTGGTCATTTCTGCAACTTGCACTTGTCCAAATATGTGTAAATGGATAAGCAGGACACAGGGTGGGAAGGTGGGAGAAAATGACCCCTTTACCTATCTACCCAGATGGGCTGGGGGAGCACCCCCTCTACTTCCTTTCCACATCAAAGTCAAGGTAATCAATCACTCCCCAACCCCAAGAGACCTGTGGACCCTGCCTTTACTCAGGGTGATGAGGAAGGGTGGGGCTAGATGGTGGCTCCCTAATCTGAGGGTAAATGCTCCTTCTGAAAACTTGATGACTGTCATAGCAAAGCAGAACAGAGCTGTCCTTGGTATTTTCCTAGGCCCAAAAATTAAGTAACATCATGCAAGATCTCAACAGCCTGGTATAGGAAGAAGGGGCATCTTTGTGGGGGATCTCACTGGGGAACACCAGGGTTAGAGAACATCTTCCTGAGTGGACAGGATTTACATCAAGGTGACACTTAAACATGACTTTCAAAGCCCTGCTTCAGACACATCCCCTTCAGGGAGAGGCAGGGAGAGTTGGCCTCACTGGACCAAGAAAGGGCTGAAGAGGGGTGGCATATAGGACAATATCCAGGACAATAGTGGGCTCAAGTGCTCTGTTTGGCTCTAGAAGTTTCTGTATTCCACTCTGAGAAGACACCCAGGATTTGATCTGAGGCCAAAGGAGTGAGTCAAAGTGCTAAGGAACTCAGAATCATAGGTCTGCCCCACGGCCCTGAATCTCCACAGTGGCCTTATGGCTTGAATGATCTTAAGAATTTGGCTAGGCAAACCATTCCAAGAAGCAACTCCAGAAAGGCCAAGGACAAACTAAAGATCAAGTGGTCAGACTGTCCACTGTGCAATGAGGACACACAAATGGTTAAGAGCAGGGGAGGATGATGAAGTAAGATGGGTTTCAGATAGATGCTCCTGGCTGCCACAGAGAGGATGGATCAAAGAGGGAGACTGAGGCCAGGAGCCTGGGAGGTAACCAGCCAGGGAAGAGCCCATGTAAGAGTGAGCTAGGTCAAGGCTGTGAGAAGAAGATTTCCTGCAAAAGTCTTTTCTTGGGTTCTAGCTTCCCTGCACCACTTGTTCCCTAAAGGGCCCTGGCCTTTGCTGCAGCTCAATTATCATTTGCTTCAAACCTTCAGTCTACCTTGTGAAAATAAGGAGCCTGAGAAATTGACCCAGAAACACAGGACAAGTTAGTGGACAGGCTAGCTTTCCAGCTACTCCACCTGGCTCCAAAACCAGAATGAGGGCATCTGGGACCCAGGAGGACAAGGTATTATGAAACAGTTCCCAAAGGAAAGAGAGATAGAGGCAGAAACAACTTTCCTAATAGTTTACTTCACTAAAACCTGGAGAAAACAGGGAAAAGGTATGTTTGGGACACCAAGTCTAGGTGTGTGCGTTGACAACGGCGACATACAGGGCCAAGGTGCTGAGGGCTAGCAGGCCTGTGACAACTGCTCGGGCCAGCAGTGCTGTCCAGCTGCCCAGTGAACATAGGTGGACAAAGGTCCTGTGGGGAAACATAACAATGAGGGAAGGGGAACAGACAAACCACCCCCACTTGGACCCAGCCTCAAACCCGGAGCCGCTTACTCCATGACAAAGGCCTTGTAGACACTAAGGAACATCAGCAGGAGGACGGCTGGACGGAAGGTATGGTACAAGTCATAGCGTGTTATCATCCAGACCTGGGCAGATGCAACGATGTAATGGACCTGGAGGGAGGCAGAAAGTTGCTCTGGGCCTGGGAGAGGAGTGTGGCCATTAGCAAAACAATGTGTGTGGCAGAGAAGGACTGCATACCAGACTGATGTTGGAGTCAATGCTCATCTGGATGTATTTCCAGTCAAACTCAATGCCCCGGGCTCCGACCCAGAGCGGGATGCAGCTGAGGAAAGCAAAGAGAGGAATTCTCCAGTACCCAGACTCTGAGCCCCCGCCCTCCAGTACCCAGTGGAACCCAGATGTCCTTTCTCAGGAGTCTGGGCTCCAGGTTGCACACACCGGGACATAATGAGCTCAGCGGTGGCCCAGCCTAGGGCAGCAACCATGATCTTGTACTCCCCCTTGCCAGCATTCCGAGACATGACAAGGTTTAGGCCTATCAGGTCCGCCACATCCACGCTGGCCTTCATGAACTCCTGTGGGTCAGGTTGAGGCGTAAGTAAGCACAGAGGCCAGGGGTCCCCTCTCCTGCACTCCCTTCACCTCCCTTGCTTCACTCACCCCAATGAAGTCATAGATGCCACCTTCCCAGGTGGGAAAGAAAGTGGCCAAGAACAGCATCTGAGAACAGAAAGCAGAAAGAGGTCACCTCAAGGATAGAAGATAAACCAGGTGTCTTTTGTCAGAAGTTAGTGTGTAGGTGAAGGGCAGGGCACTGAGGTTCTAGGGGCCCATCTGGGAGAGGGAGCAGCAGATGGTGGCAAGATTACAGGACAGGAGGAAATACACGGTAGGTGTCCTGATCCCTGAGTCAAGAGTTCTGTGGTGATCACAGGAAATCTGAGTCAGGTCTGGAAGTGCAGGACGGTAGTTAGCAGCACTGTGTGACAACCTGGGGGTTGATTATCACTCTTAATCATACCCAAAAAAACCTCTTAGTCAACCACAGGGCTGAAGTTTTCTCAGTTTCACTAAGTGCTATGCAAAAGTTGCTTCTAGGCCTCCACTCAGGTTCCACTCTTTCTAAAACTCCATCCTCTATACGTATTGTGGAGCCGTCCTTATGCGAAGTCCCGAGGGCGGTCCCACGGCAGGGGACATGCTCTGAGCGCGGGCCCTCGGGTCTGTAGAGACTAGGGGCCAGACACGTGGGGTCCAGAGGCCCTCACCTTGCACAGCTGCACAAAGAGGTAGGTGACTCCGGCCTGGACGCATTTCCAGAAGGCGTTGTACTCAGACCTGGAGAAGCGGGCAGTGAGGGGTCGGCCCGGGCCCCGCGCCCACTCCGCCCCGCGCCCTCCCCGCACTCACAGGCCGCTGCACTTGTACGTGATGAAGTAGGGGAAGTAGGCGAGGGCGAAGCAGTTCCCAAAGTGAAACAGGGTCATAATGCCGGCCGCCCGGTCCCGCCGGCGCGGGGGTCGCGAGGAAGCGTCTCCAGGTACCGGACTCTGCACAGCCCGCGCTCTCACCAGAGCCGGGGCCTGGCGCCCACCTGAGTGGCCAAGGCCCGCGCACTGCCTCCTGGGAAATGTAGTCCCGGCCCCGGGAGTCGCGCCTGGTGACGTCAGAGCGCCGTTGGCCAGGCCCGGGTTCCCCTGTGTTCCCACGTCAAGTTCCCTACCTAGTCTTGCGGCTGCCCCCGACGCCAGGCCCTCACAACTGAGGCTGTCCGCGTTCCCGGAACCGAGCGCGACCCCTCTCCTGTGGGCGCAGGCCGATCGATTATGTGGCCCCACCTTAAACTCGGATCTGAACCCGCGGTGATCGGCGCAGAGACATGGGCTCAACTGTGAGGACTTGTTTTTATTTCGTCTGTGACCCAGCGGCGACGAACCCTCACACCGGGTGCCCTTCTTTACCCGGGCAGCCAAACGCGGGAACAGAAGGGACCGGTTCCGGCTGGGGAGCCCAGGGAAGCAAAGCAGGGGCTTCCCCATTCACTTTTCCCGGCTGAACATGTAGCGGAGGAGGTCTACTACCCGGTTACTGTAGCCATATTCGTTGTCGTACCTGCGAGGGGAGGGAAGGAAGGTTCAAGGGCGTCCCTCCCAATCACCCTCTAGTCTGTCCCCCTTCCGTCCCCGCACCATTCTCTGATCCCTTCCCCCTTACCAAGAAATCAGCTTTACAAATGTGTCGTTAAGTGCAATGCCGGCCTTCGCATCAAAGATTGACGAGTGGGTATCGCCAGTGAAGTCCGTGGAGACGACCTGGGCGCCAGAATTTAAAAGGTAAGTGTGGGTAGCAGAGCAAGAACCTCCAGGAGGTCAGGCTCTCACTCTTAGGCACATTGATCATCCGTTCACCTACAGTTTCTTTTTTGTTGTTGTCCTTGTTTTAAGAGAGTCTCACTCTGTCACCCTGGGTAGAGTGCCGTGACGTCATCATCATACCTCACAGGAACCTCAGTCTCTTGGGCTAAAGAGATCCTTTTGTCTCAGCCCCCTGAATAGCTGGGACTACAAATGCCTGCCACTACGCTCAGCTAGTTTTTCTATTTTTAGTAAAGACGGGGTCCTGCTCTTGCTTAGGCTGAAAAGGAATTCCTAAGTTCAAAGTGATCCACCTGCCTCAGCCTCCCAGAGTGCTAGGATTACAGGCGTGAACCACCATGCCTGGCCTCACCTACAGTATTTGATGTATCCATACTGTATCCCAGCTCTGTATGACCTTAGCAGATGGAAGCTCTGCTGGTGGGGGACTGGCCAAAGGACACGGACCACAAACACCCTAATGCTCTACCAATATGTAACTTCCTAGGAATAATGCAGGTGCTTGGAATGGGCTAGTCTCTCTGAGTGGTGATCATGAACCTGGGTCAGGATGTCTAGGAGGATCTGGCCAACTTGGGCCCTCAATAATTATTTGAGGTGAGCTGTAGGCAGAGCGGTCCTGAGGGTTCTAGCCCTGGTATGGTGGAAGGCCACAGGAGAGTTTTCAGCAGTGGTGTGACACCATCTGATTCCTTAAAACAAGAGGTCCTGGAGGCTGTGTAGGAATGGACCTGCGGGGAGGCAGCCCCAAGGTGGCGATTCTCAGCTCCTCACAGAAAAGGCACCTGGTTCATGGCCTGGCCCCAAGCAAATGCTGAAAAAATAAGAGCTGTTGTTTTTTGTTCACTAAGCATGTAATGAGCACTTGCTGTATGCCAGGCTGCAAGGAATTGAAAAGATGCCCCCTAAATCTCTGCTTTCTGGAGTACACACACTACTGGGGCTGATAAGGACTATGAAATGAAAGTTCAGGTGAGGAATGGGCCTCCAAAAAGAACATCTTTTTGAGGGAGTATCTTGCTAATGAGAAAGATTGAAATAAAGACTTGGGTGAAGTAAGGGCAGACCCTATGGCTACCTAGGAAGTAGGTTTACCAGGCCAAAGGAACTGCAAGTGCAAAGGCCCAGGCAGAGAGATCTACCTTCTCAACTCTGCAGTTTGTATCTTGCAGTTCCCTGACAAGTAGAAATCACATCTCTTCCCCAGAGGGCTCCTCACAGGGTCCCCTCTCCTCAGCCCCTACCTCATCCTCAGTATAGGCAAGGATGCCAGCCATGGGCCCCTTGGCTGCTGTTTTCATAGCCTCCTTGATAGCTGAGTAGGGGGTGGGTCGTGCCAGGCGGCAGGTCAGGTCCACGACAGACACGTCTGGAGTTGGTACTCGGAAGGCCATTCCTGTCAGCTTCCTAGAGAATCCCACATCAGGGATAGGAGTCAGAACTTAGGGATGTCTCCCTTCATTCCCCTTTCCCTTGAGGCTTGGCCAGGCTGTTGCTTTCAGGATTAAGGGCCAGTCCAGTCCTCCTGGAATTTGCTTCTACCCTGATGCAGCTTCTTTCCTCATACCCTTTGAGCGCTGGGATGACACTGCCCACGGCTTTGGCAGCCCCAGTGGAGGCTGGGATGATGTTCTGGTGGGCACCACGTCCATCTCGCCAGGCCTTCCTTGATGGCCCATCCACTGTCTTCTGGGTGGCCGTGTAGGAGTGGACAGTGGTCTTGGGGAAGAAGAGGGCCAATGTGAGCCCTAAGCTCCCATGCTTCTTTTTCCCAGGACTAGAGTGGTGGCCTAGGTGCAGTGGCTAGCAAGTCCACCATCACAGACCCCAGGAGGGGCTCATGTAGGCCACATCCAGCCTTGCCTGAAGGCTGTACAGTGTCTTAACAGACTTCTTTACTGGTAGGCCTCTCCTCCCACAACCAGTCTCTCCCTGTTAGCTCTGTACAATAAGCAAGGACTGCAAAGAGGAGGTTGGGTTTCCCTACTAGCCCTCCTGCTCCAACCCCTTGTTCCCAACTTACCATCAGCCCTTCCACAATCCCAAATTGCTCATGGATGACTTTGGCAAGTGGGGCCAGGCAGTTGGTGGTACAGGATGCATTACTGAAACAGCAGGTGTGCAAGGGCACTGTGAGGTGAGGCATGGAGCTCCTTTCCATGCTCTCCCCTCTTGGAGTGTGCACACAGGTCTTATTTTGTGAATTGTCAGGATGGGGGTGAGTGGGATCAGTGGGGATGCTGTCAGACTGAAGGAGGCATCGGGGATGCAGCAGGGGGAAGTTCCCCAAGCACATTCTGTAGGAGTTGTGCATTTCTAATAGTTTCAGGGTAGCATTGACATGATAGCTGTGGAGACTTTGGGGCGGAGAATCATGTGGGAATGGGGAGGACAAGTCTGTACCCTCCCTTCCTAGGCTGAGATGTCCTTTGGGCACCACTGCCACACTTGAGGATGTTGCTGCCCTGTTACCTGACAATGTTCATGGAGTTAGGGTTATAGTCGTTTTCGTTCACACCCATGACGAACATGGGTGCATCTGGTGAGGGTGCACAGATGACCACACGCTGGGCACCTGCTGAGATGTGATCCTAGGGAGGAAGCATGATGGTGTCAGATGTGTTAAGCACTATGCCCCCCCCCCCCCGCCCCCGCCCCAGCTGGCCCTGAGCACCTCTCCCCTGTTTCACTTACCGAAGTTGCCTCTAGGGAGAGGTACACGCCTGTGGACTCTACCACATAGGGGCTCCCGACATTCCTCCAGGGGATTTCTTTGGGCGCCTTGCTGCAAGGGGTGGCAGGGCAGAGTCAGTCTCTTCTGCACAGGCCTTCCCATCATAGTGCACAACCCTCACCATTCAAAAGGCTGACCCAGGTGCATTCCTGTAGGTGCCATCCTGCCCACAATCCCACCCCACACGCATAGCTGTCCCAGGTGGATTGGACCCCACCAGCCTTGCTTTTCCTCACTGCCCTCCTCTCGGGCCACTTTTTTGTTTGTTTGTTTGTTTGTTTCTGAGATAGTCTCTGTCACCCTGGGTAGAGTGCTGTGGTGCCATAGCTCATGGCAACCTCAAATTCTTAGGCTCAAGCCATCCTCTTGCCTCACCCTCCCAAGTAGCTGGGACTACAGGCACTACTGCAATGCCTGGCTAGCTTCTCAAGTTTTGGTAGAGACAGGGTCTCACTCTCACTTAGGCTGGTCTAAAACTTTCCAGAGTGCTAGGATTATAGGCATGAACCACGTGCCCAGCTACCAAGCCACTTTCCTTTCTTGATCACACCACTCCTAATATGCCTGGTGACTGGCCACCTCCCCAGCTCAGGCCTTGATTCCCTTAGGGTGATCATTCCTGACTACTTCCAGCCAGGTCAGACCCTTTCTGACTAACCCAGCACTTGGGCCCTGTGACAGTGAGGCCTGCCTACCTGCATTCTTATCCCCAGCCAAACAACCTCACCACTCACCCTCCCCTCTCGACTATACCCCTCAGTGCCTCCTATAGGAAACCTGCTGCCAGGGGCCAGGGAGCAGCTCCTAGGGGAGAGCTGGAGTCTGAAGCAGCCTGGGGGCCAGCAGTGCCTAGTGGCTTACACTAGAAAGGTAAAGGAAGTTTTCGGTTTCTTGTTTTATACTTTTACATTTTTACTTGCTATTTTGACAAATATTTGTATCTGAAACAAATATCTAGTGTTGCTGTTTTCTAGTTGGCTTTAGCAAACAAGCATTAAATGAATAAACTGTATCCAAGTAACTGGGTTGTTTGCTTCTGATTGTTTGTGTCTGTCTCTTTTGCCATTGAACCTGCTTCCTCCATGGGGGGGTCAATCAATGCGTGTAGGGTTTTTTAAAATAAAAAATTTTAAATTAGCCATTCTATATATATTTACTGAACACCTGCCATGTGCCCTCATTCTAAGTGCTTTACTCATATGAAACTCATTTCAACTTTCACAACCTGAGGAGTAAGTACTATTATCGTCATTTTTCAGAGGAGCCAGCATCAGGCAGAGGTGAAGGGTTGAGGCAGAGGCTGGAGTGTAGGTGGGCCAGCCTAGATCTGCATTCCTAACTGTACTGCGGGATTGAATGAATGAGCAGGCTTCCTTTCCCTGAGGCCATGGCACATGTTTATTCTCTCTTCCTGGTCATCTGTACTTTTCATCATCTGCCCCAACTAGCTCTTCTCTGTTGCCCCCCCCCAATTTCCTGCTTTCCTTGGCATGAGGCAAAGAGTTTGCCCCAGAAGACCCCAGCTCCAGCCCCCAGGGCTGTTTTGAAGATTCCATTTCATTTATTCATTCTTCAAGGTAGTACTGAATAGACATTCAGTAGAGCACACACCAATAGGGCCCTCCCTACAAGGGTATGGCCTTGTGGGAAAATGTCCTTCCAGTTGTTCCACAAACACATGTTAACTCTCGTCATGTTCCCAGCTACCGTGGCGCTGGTGTGATCCCATCAGATACCTAAGGGAACTGAGACCCTGGCACATTTGATCCCTCGCTCAAGGTCACTCAACTAGGTAGGGGTGGAGCAGGGTCGAGTACACACAACAGCAAGGCCTGTGCTAAATGCCTGCACTACACCAACAGTGCAGGAGCAAGGAGGACTACTGTGTTGCACAAGGGACCAGAGAAGGTAACAGCTGTGGGGGGTGTGAATGGAAGGAGCAGCTGTGGGGATGGGATGGAGAGTGCTCCAAGTGGCAAGAATGATGGTGCCCAGGCTGAGGTGGGAAAGGGCACAGTGGGTCTGACTGATGACTGCTCTACTGAAATTGGTTTTAGTGTCATGATTTCAAATTTGGGTCAACTAGCTTCCATTTTCACTGACTATCCCCCCCTATTTCCTGCACCCATCCCTGCCTGCCTCACCACAAGCCATCCCTCCCCCTTCATTCTCTCATCCCAGCAAGTACAAAGAGAAGAGCTAAGAGAGAGTGCTAAGCGAGGGCTTGAAAGGCTGCAGCTTGCCTGGGGCTGGAGATAGTTTACCAGCAGGCCTGCGTGTGCACCCCAGTATGTGTGAGAGTCAGCCATGGGCCAGCAGTGGCTGAGAGTTTACATTAGAAAGGTGAGGTAGGTTTACTATTTCACATTTTTAATCGCTTTTGATACCTTGAAAATGTTTGTATTGGAAGCATATTAGACATCTCTTACTGCTGTGGACTTACAGAATCTGAACATATCTTTAAATGAAAAGTCAGTGTTAATATGGGCATGAACTGGGTGATTACAGTGTGAAATGAGGGCTATGACGTCATTGTTGTCCGGCTGTGAGAGGCGCTGGCTCCAGGTCCCACTTGGTGGGTGGTCAGTGTGGCTGAGGTGACAAGGAGGCTGTGGGTTGGCTGCATGGTGCTTGGCGGGCCCCATCAAGAACTGAGTTTTATCCATGGAGTCATGGGAAGCCATTGGGGCACTTCATAGGGGAGTAATCTGGCCCAGTGGGTGTTTTACTTTTATTTTTTAATTTTGAGACAGAATCTCACTATGTCACCCTGGGTAGAGTGCCATGGCATCAGAGCAACCTCAAACTCTTGGGCTTAAGCGATTCTCTTGCTTCAGCCTCCCGAGTAGCTGGGACTATAGGTGCCTGCCACATCATCCAGGTAATTTTGGTTGTCATTGGCATGTTGTTTAGGTGGCCTGGGCTGAGTTTGAACCCGCCAGCCTCGATCTATGTGACTGGCACCATAACCACTGCTACAGGTGCCGAGCCCCAGTGAGCGTTTTAAAAGAGCCTTTGGCTACTGTGTGGGGCCTAGTCAGGTGTTAAAGTTACTTTGTAGAAAAGGAGAAGAAGGTGGTGCCTGTGGCTCAAAGGAGTAAGGCGCTGGCATATATACCGAAGGTGGCGGGTTCAAACCCAGCCCTGGCCAAAAACTGCAAAAAAAAAAAAAAAAAGAAAAAAAAAAAAAAAAAAAAGGAGATGAACAGGTTTGGGGGTGAAAGGAGAGGCAGGGGTTGAGTTGTGGACATGTTGAGTTGATGCTCGTGTGCAGAAACATGCAAGTGTGTATTAAGGAAAAAATATTCTCGGGTATGGTGGGACATCTTTTGAGCTAAGTATTTCTTAGCCACTTGTTCAAGTGAGACCCCTCCCTGCAAACTATTACCCAAAACCATAGACATACAATTTTGAGGGGTGGCTTCGAACCCCATGTGAGAAGACAGAAACCCATTTTAGTCACAAACATGCATCAAACAGATGCTGGCCTTACCACTGGTAGACAGTGATCTCTTGGTTGTCCACAACCAGCTGGCCGTTCTTGTAGTCCACATTCCCCTTGTATCGGCCATGGGTAGAGTCATATTTAAACATGTATACCTGCGGGCGACAGAATGGCTTCTAGCTTGGGGGTGGCCCAGCAAGCATCCCTAGAGAGCTCCCACCTTGGTGAAGGTTCCACCTTGTAGCTGGAGCTGTCCACAGAGCTGCCTGAACCCTCTCCCCACCCCAGTCCCACCCGAGGCTCCTACCATTCCTGTTCCTGCTCTCTGCTGCTGCTCACCATGTATTCCGGGTCAATGAATGGGTCATTCACTGCCACCACCTTAACACCCTTCTCCATGCAGGCACGTAACACCAGGCGACCAATGCGTCCAAATCTGGCCGGGATCAGCAGAGGAGAGAAGGGGAGAGAATGGGTAATGGAGAGGAGGCCCACTCAAGGGGATTGAGTGTGAATCCTCAGTTTAGGGGAGGAAGGCAGCCACCTCTGTGTAGGCCACTCTCATCTCTTGCTCAGATGACCTCACCAGCCTCTTCACTGCTTTTTCTGGTTCCTCCCTCATGTCCCCTAACTGCTATTTTTCCCCACCCCTCAATTCTTTTTTTTTTTTCTTTGTTTGTTTTGAGACAAAGTCACAAGCTGTTGCCCTCAGTAGAGTGCCACGGTGTCAAAGCTCACAACAGCCTCAAACTCTTGGGCTTAAGCGATTCTTCTCTTGCCTCAGCCTCCCAAGTAGCTGGGAGCCACAGCGCCCAGCTATTTTTTGGTTGTAGTTGTCATTGTTATTTGACAGGCCCAGGCTGGATTCAAACCCTCCAGCTCCAATGTATGTGCAGCTGGCACCCTAGCTAGCTGCTAAGCTACAGGTGCCGAGCCAAATTCTTTTTTTTTTTTTTTTAAGAGACAGAGTCTCACTTTGTTGCCTTTGGTAGAGTGCCCTGGCATCACAGCTCACAGCAACCTCCAACCTCCAGCTCTTGGGCATAGGCGATTCTCTTACCAAAGCCTCCTGAGAAGCTGGCACTACAGGTGCCCGCCACAACGCCTGGCTATTTTTTTTGCAGTTTGGCTGGGGTCAGGTTTAAACTCGCCACCCTTGGTACATGGGGCTGGCGCCCTACTTACTGAGCCACAGGCGCTGCCCTTCCCTCCCCCCACCCAGCCAAATTCTTAACCTCCTATCTTGCTGGATCTTTTTTTTTTTTTTTTTGAGACAGAGCCTCAAGCTGTTGTCCTGGGTAGAGTGCTGAGTCCTGCTGAGTGCGGTGACATCACAGCTCACAGCAACCTTCAGCTCCTGGGCTCAAGTGATTCTCCTGCCTCTGCCTCCCAAGTAGCTGGGATTACAGGGGCTTGCCACAATACCCAGCTATCTTTTGGTTGTAGCCGTTATTGTTGTTTGGTGGCCAGGGCTTGATTCGAACCCACCAGGTCAGGTGTGTGTGGCTGGTGCCTTAGCCACTTGAGCCACAGGTGCTGAGCCCTTGCTGGATCTTTTAAAACTTCAAGTCAGATTATGTCTCCTGGCCTGAAAAGCTCCATGATTCTCTATCAGCAAAACAAGGTCCAAACTCCTTACCAGGATGTACCAGGGCCCTGCCAGGTTCTCCCCGGCCCCCCAGCTTGCTCTGTACCTGCCACACTGACTTTTGGCTGTCCTAGAACACAGAGCTTGCCTCCTGCACCCCAGAGACATTGCTTGTCCTTCTGTCGGGAAGACTTTTCTCCAACAAGGTGCACACTTGGCTGCCTTTTGTCACTCAGGCCTCACTCCAATGTCACCTGCTCCCAGAGCCCTACCTTGACCATCTCAGAAAAACTGCCCTGTCCTGACAGTACCACTGAGTTTTGTTCACAACATACACCACCAGGAGGTGCCTCGTGTCTTTGATTATTGTCTTCCCCACCAGAATGTGAGCCCTGGGCGGGGGGCCTGTCTAGCTTATTCCCTGCTGTGGTGGAGATGCCCCAGTTAGTAACCAGGGGGTGGGCTGGGCTATAAGGCTTCAAGAACCACTCAGGAGCCAGAGTATACTCACCCATTGATGCCAACAGTCAACTCCTTGGGTATAGAAGCCTTCTTAGGTGGAGGAGGAGGTGGTGGTGGTGGAGGAGGGGGAGGTGGTGGTGGCGGCGGTGGCTTTACTTCGTCCCTGACTGGCTCAGGCAGCGGTTCAGGTGGGGGCTCCTCAATCTTGGGCTCAGGTGGGGGTGGTGGCGGTGGTGGTGGTGCTCTGGTCACTGTGTTTGGAGGGGAGGGAGGAGGAGGGGTGTGGGATGAGCCGCTCACCACAGTGAAAGAGAATGAACCGTCTTTGCCATCAGAACCTGTTGCTGTCTCCTGCCCCTGACAGCTGACCATCTAGCCTAGTGCTTCCCAGAATCAGCAAGGGGTAGACTTGTTATCAATGCCAGGACCCCTTCCCTGGAGATTATTGAATGGGTGTATATTTTTTTTTTCTGAAATGGGTGTATATTTTTAACAATTGCTTGGGGTGATGTTCTCTGTGCCTCAATTTCCTCCTCTGTAAAATGGAGGCAATAATAGTACTTGTCTTAGGCAATCATTGTGAAGCTTGAATGAGGTAATTAATATGTTCCTAGGGCCTAGGAAACATTCCACACATTAGTTTTTTGAACAATTCAAAAATTCCAAATTCACTTCTGGAATTTGTATGATAATTCATCAATTCCAATGAATTCATCAATTCATCAGTTCCACCTAGGTACACAGACTGTTCTGATGGACAGAATCATTCGAGGAGGCCTCTTCTTAGAAAAATCTAACTCTAGGTCTGTACTGAAGCCCTAGAAATCCTCTTTTTAACAAGGACTTCAGGTATTTCTTATCCTCAAGGAAGTTTAGGGAATACTGTGTATCACACTACATTAGACAAACAGAAACCCATATCAGCTTGTGCCTCTCCATCCACCCACTCCCTCCTATACTGTGGAGGTGTGTGTCTGCCTGTGTCACAGATAAAGGCTTGACCAGAGGAGGGGAGAAGTGGAGGCATGGGGCTCCTGGGTGGCAGAGGGTTTCAAGCTGGGAAGTCAGGCCTGGATGCTAGCCCTGGCGCTGTCACCTCCTGCTGCGTGGTCTTGGGCAAATTGAGGAACCCTTTGGGTCTGTTTCCTAGGTGTCCTACCCGATCCTCCACCAAGGGGTTGCTGTGAGGGCTCATTGAGATTTCAAGGCCCACAAGTAGGAGCTGATTTTAATAGAGGAAGAGAGGAAGTCTGGTCATCCCTCCGAGTGCTCCTGAGGAAAGGGAGGGAGCAGAGCTTGGAGAAGGGCTAGAGGATGATGGGCTTGAGGCACCCTGGAGGTGGTAGGGCCAGGAGCTGGCACCCCTAGGAATTGGGGGCCAACTGACCTATCTCCCTGATCTCTTCCTGTTGCCACACCTTGTGGCCTGAGGCTGGACTGTGGGTATTCCCAATATCGGAACAAGTTTGGAAAGTATCAATCAGGGTTTCTTGGTGGGAGTGACCCTGTGTTTCCTGGTGACCTTCAGGATGTTTGCACTCCTGGGGGCTTCGCTTTCTACTATCATGAAGGGGGAAAGTTGTCCATCTAGGTTAAGAGTGAGGATCTGGGGCGGCACCTGTGGCTCAAGGAGTAGGGTGCCGGCCCCATATACCAGAAGTGGTGGGTTCAAACCCGGCCCTGGCCAAAAAAAAACTGGAAAAAAAAAAAAAAAAGGGGGGTTTTGAGTCCACTCAGTGCTACTTTCTTTTTTTTTTTTTTTTTTTGAGACAGAGCCTCAAGCTGTCCCCCTGGGTAGAGTGCCGTGGCATTACAGCTCACAGCAACCTCCAACTCCTGGGCTCAAGCGAGTCTCTTGCCTCCGCCTCCCAAGTAGCTGGGACCACAGGCGCCCGCCACAACGCCCGGCTATTTTTTGGTTGCAGCCGTCATTGTTGTTTGGCGGGTCCGGGCTGGGGATTTGAACCCGCCACCTTAGGTGTATGTGGCTGGCGCCTTAGCCGGTTGAGCTATAGGCGCCGAGCCAGTGCTACTTTCATAAGAAAACTCAGATGGTTCTTTTCTTCCAACTGCCTCCAGCCTCCCACTCTCCTCTCCCGCACTGTGGGGAAGGGAGCCCGGGCTAAGGAAAAGCTACTGGGCTAGCTCGGGGCTCTTGTGAATTCTTCTCGACAACATCTCTCTGAATCCTGCGAGGCATGTGCTATAAATCCACTTTACAGAGGAGAAAATGAAGTCTGAGGTCATAGAGCTCTGATGAGCTGGAAAGGAGTTCACGACAGGGGGCTGTTAAATGTGTCTGCAGCTGTGTGGTCCCGGGCTTCCACACCGGAAGCCCCGCCCAAGCCCCGCCCCGCCCCTCCCACCAGCCCTGGCAGTGCCAGCACCCAGAGGAAAAAGCGTGGGAATGGGGCTGCCCTCCCGGAGAGCTGAGTTTGTTTAGCTAGTGTTTGTGTGCGCGCGCGCGCGCGTGCGCACGCGCGCGCGCCTCCGGCTGGGTGACGCGGGACTACCCGGTGGCTGAGAGCAAGGAGTCTGGAGTCCGCCCCTGGAGCGGAATACCAACTATACCAGCCTCCTGCTAAAAGCGTGCCCTCTCTTTACAGCTCTGTGAAATGGGGACAGTGAACACAATGCCCTCCGCAGGTGCTTCGTGAGGCTTCAGCGAGCCCACGCCTATAAAGTGATTGGCACATCCCTGCCAGTTGTAGGTGGCCTTGGTTTGTGCAACACAGGGAGGGCTCTGGGAGGACAAAGCCCACCGACACCCAAAGTGCCTGCCCCTTTCGCACTGGTTGTGGCGAACATCAATTTTATGTGGAAACCCAGCCCACCTAGGATGTCCTCACAAGTACCCCTCGTAAACCGCGCTCTTGCAGCCACCACCCTGCCACCACCTGCCTCCAGCTTCGGTTTGGCAAGGCACCCCTCTACTCTTTCCACCCTGGGGGTGGAGTCCCATCTGCTCCACCACAACCATAGAAAACCACCTGCCCGCAAACCCGGGTGGTAAGGGGTGGGAGGGGGAGGGAGGTAAGGGGTTCCTGGATGAAGTGGGGCAGGTGATGGTGGCCCCACCCCTTCACCCCCTGCCTCCGGGTTGAGAGTGGAGAGGGCTCGGGAGTCAGTGAACTACTAGACAACCACCCCTTCTTCTCCTCCGGGTGTCGCCCGCCTTCTCCTTTACCTGGGCATGGCTGTCGTAGCAGCTGGACAACGGTAACATTGGTAAGGACGATGTCGCGTTTCGACATGGCCACCTAAGGTATCATAGCGTGGCTGCCCCGGGACCTGCTGGGATGTTACTGAAGTTCGGGACTCTGGGGCTGCTGGGTCTGGAGCGTCTTGCCGTGATGTCATAGTGGCCAGGGACATCACAGTGCCCAGTGACGTCGCAGGGAGGTGGTGTGCAGGCCTCAGACCCAGGGGGATCCCAGTCACTCTACAGAAGTGTGATGTCCGAGCCCTGTGTGTCCCCCTTCCGAGTCCACCCACTGGCGTCTGGAATGGAATCTAGCTTTTAACGTTGGTCCTCACAGCCCTTTTCTCTCTCCCTTCCGTCTTCCTCCGCAAGCTGGTTCCTGACCTCTCTTCAATCCCCCTGTTACCTTATGCTTGGAAAGTCCCAACCGTCGCTTCCCTAGGCTGCTTGGGGGCTTCCTTCAGATGCCATCCTGTAAAAGAGGCCTTTCTGAACTCCCCAAGTGTCCTCTCAGTTACTATCCCCTATTATCCACCCCTGCAATCTCTGCCCATCAGCCTGTCTGACTCCCCACCCTGGATTGTGTTCCAGCTAGCGGAACCCCTTCAGCGCGGTACTTTCTCTATTTTTACTTTCCTTGTAGAGTGTGTTTTCCTAAAAGTCATTTCTTTTCTTGCAAATTCTCTCTGCCTACTAGACTGTAAGCTCTGGGAGGGCAGGGACCTTGTTTACGTTTGTCACGCCTGTATCCCATTGGCTGGAAGAGTATTTGGCACTTAGGTGGTGTTTGCTCAATAAATAATGTCTGAATGAATAAATAAATGTCACCTCCTCAGGTTTTTTCTGATCCACAATCATATAGCACCCCTCAAGTCATATCCTCCTACAGCCCCCTTTCTTGTCCTTGTAGCTATTTGTGTAATTTGCCACGCCATCCACGCCCATGTGCTCTAAAGCCCCCACAGGCTGTGTTCTCTTGTTTCTTTGTTCACCATTGTGTCTCCAGCACCCACAACAGAGCCTGGTGCAAAGCAGGCTTTCAACAAAAGTCTGAGGAAGAACCAATGGACAAATGGCCCCATCCCCTAAAGCACTGGGGTGGGGGCTTCCTTGCCCATCAGTGACTCACAGGCAGGCAACTTCACTTGCATAGCCGGTTGACACGCACCTGTGACCAAGATTTGGGTGGCATAGGGATTTGTGTCAGGCAGGAGTCACCATCCCAGAGAGAGGTGGATGCAAGAAGGGGCAGAATGCCATAACCTCTTCCTTCCCAAAACCTCCATGGGAACTTCATATGCCAAGCACCTGCCGTGGAGCCGAGGCGGGGTGAGGCTGTCCTGCTTGTTTGGCCTGGCAGAGATGGAAATGAACATAAACTGAGTGTACCGACGAGGAGATTTCAATGAACCAAGACCAAAAGACAGATGACTAAATGAAGGAGGCTAAACTCTGATGTACCATCAAAGAAAGAAAAAAAAAAACCCAGCATGGACAAAACCAGGATTAAGAAGGAGCAGATTTTGTGCAACTTTACAATAATAGATTTGCAATTAAAATTTGCCTTAGAAAATATAAAGGGGCGGCGCCCGTAGCTCAGTCAGCAGGGTGCCGGCCACGTACACCCAGGCTGGCAGTTTCGAACCTGGCCTGGACCAGCTAAAACAACGACAACTGCAACAAAAAAACAGCTGGGTGTTATGGTGGGTGCCTATAGTCTCAGCTACTTGGGAGGTTGACGCAAGAGAATCGCTTAAGCCCAAGAGTTGGAGGTTGCTGTGAGCTGTGACGCCACAGCAGTCTATAGAGGGTGACATAATGACACTCTGTCTCAAAAAAAAAAAAAAAGGAAACAATATATAAAGGGACCAAGCAGGCTTAATAAGAAATGGCAAATCTGACGCTCTCCATGCTGGATCCTTCTCCGCTGGCATCACCCACACGCCTGCCTGCACCCACTATGGCTACTCTTCTGCAGTTGGTAGGAAGAAGGTGCCTGGTGGACAGCAAAGGCTTTTATGAATACATGAAGGAACTGGGAGTAGGGTCAGCTCTGCAAAAAAGGGTGCAGTGGTCAAACCAGATTGTATCATCTCTTGTGATGGCAGGAACTGCACCATAAAAACTGAGAGAGAAAAAACAAATCTGAGAGCAATTAAAAAACACCGTTTTTTTTTGTGTCCTGGGACAGATTTTTGAAGAAACCGCCATTCAGTGGATGGCTGAAAAACCCAGACTGTCTGCGCATACACAGATGGCACATCGGTTCACCATCAAGAATGGGATGGGAAGGAAAGCATGATAACAAGACAATTGACAGATGGGAAATTGATGGTGGAAGGCGTCATGAACAATGTCACTATACACAGGCCTATGAAAAAGTAGAATAAAAATCCCATCATCACTCTGGGCAGGAATTACTTAGGAGAATGAACAAGCTCAGTCCAATGAGCAAGTCTCTATACTCTTTATTTTTTTGGCTGGGGCTGGGTTTGAACCTGCCACCTGTGGCATATGGGGCCAACACCCTACTCCTTTGAGCCACAGGCGCCGCCCCCCCCCTTTTTTTGAGACAGTCTCACTATGTCACCCTTGATAGAGTGCTATGGTATCACAGCTCACAGCAACCTCAAACTCTTGGGCTTAAGCGATTCTCTCAGCCTCCCAAGTAGCTGGGACTACAGGCTCACAACACCCAGCTATTTTTTTTGTTGTAGTTGTTATTGTTGTTTAACAGGCCTGGGTTGGGTTCAAACCCACCAGCCAGGGTGTATGTGGCTGGTGTCCTAGCCGCTGAGCTACAGGCGCCAAGCTGATACTTTTTTTTTTCATTACTGTATTCGGTTACCTTTATCACTGATATTTTGCATACAATTATTTCAAAGTATTGGTTTAATTAGGTTCCTCCTTTTGGTTAATAGCTATGTTTGTGCTAATGAAAAAAGAAGAAGAAATGGCAAATCTGACTAGACGAATAAAAGAAAAAGTTAAAATATATCCTCCTAAAGGCCGATTCGGATTTAGACAATTTTATGGGCAAGACCTGCCAAAGCACTGGAGAACAAATATTTACCATTCTGTACTAACCAGTGCAGACCCTAACCAGACCTGGGAGGCCCCGTGGCAGCTCCTGTGTGGCTGCCTCCGGGGAGGGCTGGCTCTGATGGGCAAGCACACTGTATGGGTTTGCGCTGTAGCTTCTTCAGAGTGCTCAGGGGATAGCTGTGATGGCTTAGCTACTGAAAATTCCTCCGTTCACTCCAGGAAACCAGCACAAGCATGTTACCCAAACCAGCAGAGGATGGCCTAAGCAAGGACAGCTCCATGCCAACCTCAGTTACTGAGACGGATGCCAAAGTCCTGAGTCCAGTAGTCGTACATGGGAATGGAGAGACTGAGGAGAGGGGTTGAGGCCAACAGGAGATGGAAGGATGGGCAGAGAGAGGGATGGGAAAGAAAAGATGGAGTAGATATCAAAAGGAGAACCCCCACCTCTCAGTCTTGGGGTGGGTTAGGAGCTCGTCACACAACCTTCCCCACCCAGCAACCTCCAGCATGGGAAATTCTGTCACTTAGGCACTGGACAAGGGCAGGGTGCCAGGAATTTGGCTTTGTCCCAGGAGTGTGAAACTGGGAAACAGATTTGATGAGTTCAACCTTAGAGAGGTGGCACAATTAGTCACCCTCTCAGGTAGAGCCTGGACAAGCTCTTGGATCTCTGGCCTGGGATGATGGTACGAGGTGGGGAGCCAAGTGTCCAGGGTCTTGGGTGGGACCCTGGGTCCTTGGAGGGGATTGGGCCTTGGTGCCCGTGTTTGAACCAAGCCTGAAAACACGTGCAGATACTTACCACACCTGGACACCCACACGCATAGCTCTGCCACCCCCACTTGCTCACACCCTGAACATTCTTTCCCGCCTGGCCCTCCCACCAGCAATCCCACCTCCACCTCCTCTCTCAGTCTCTCCCTTTGGCACCAAAACCCAAATATCTTTCACCTCTGCACCCATCTATACCCACCCACGGGTTCCCAGATATGAAGCTGCAGACATACCAACTACCACCCTCCTTCCCTTCCAGTGCCCCTCTGCACACCCTAGGCCAAACTCTCAGCTGTTCCCCCTTCCAGTCTGAGCCAATCCGTCAACACTTGGGGCTTCATGTTGGGGCTCAGGAGGCCCCAGGGGAGGAGGGCAGGAAGTATGAGCTTCTGGCCCCAGCCCAGGCACTGGCTCACAGTCTCCTGCACTCCTGGGTCTTCAGCCCCTCCCCATGGCTGCCTCAACCGGCTTTTCAGGAGACACTGCGTCCTGTTCCAGCTCATGGCAATCAGCCCCCTGCCCTTGCTCAAGGGCGAGCACACAGGAGGTCTGAGTTCTGTGACATGAATGTGATCCTTCCTCCAAAATCTGCAACACTCCCCAAGGGACCCTGTGCTGATCTGGGGACTTGGGAACCCTTCCCTCCAACACCCTATGAGACTCAGGCTCAGGCTTGGTCTCTCTTCCCCTGGCTGCTTCTAACCCACCTATTCATTCAATCTGTAAATATCTACTGAACTGCAGGCAATGTTCTAGAAGCTGGGGATACAGCAGTGACCAACACAGACAAAGGCCCTGTTCTCTATAACTGTTTACAACCTAGGGGGACAATAAAATATAAAGGCAATTTCAGATGATGGTAAGTGCTATAAAAACCAAAGGCCGCTATCACAGAGAGTAACTGTAATACCACGTTATGGCTGGCGGTCAGGGGAGAAGATGACAGTTGAGGAGGAGCCAGCTCCATGAAGATCTGTGTTTTGCTTTCCAGACAGAGAATAGCAAGTGCGAAGGCCAGGAGGCAGGAATGGCCTTGGTGTGTGTAGGAGCAGGGAGAGGCTGTGCAGCCGGAGGACGCAGGAAGAGAGGGGTAGCAGTGTGACCCCCAAGGGCAAAGCCTGATGACTCCCTTAGCTCCCCAAGAGCTCTTTCCTCTCCCAAATGGGGCTCCCATCTTTCTAGATCCTCATTTCTGGGGAAGCTGGATGCCCAGATCCCTGACAGAAGTGAGGGGTGGAAGAATCACTTGAGTCTTAGGAATGAAGTGATTGTGTTAGGCCTAGACTAAGGTGGAAAAATGCCAGTTAACTCCTGGCAAATTACTGGGCTGCAAACCCTCAACAAAATGGAGTAAGCTTGGTTCACTCCCAAGATAGATGGGACTAACTTCTTGCTTGACTAATTCCCCTGAGAAACAGACCAGGAAGTACCAACTGTCCCCGGAATGACTTTTAAGAAATACCAGGTGGAGAAAGTACTGAAGCAAGGATGTATGGCTAACTAACCACAAAGTTCTGCTTCTGTACATTGCTTGCTAATCAACCTGGATGCACCTGGGCAGCCTGCGTGTCAGCCAGGATGTAGACCAAGCCTTAAAACCTGACCCCTTAAGCAGTCGGGGCTGCTCTCTGAACCCCTGTGTTGGGTGTGAGGCAGTCGCTGGCCGGCTTTTAAATAAAGGACTCTTCTGTTAATTTGGCTAGCATGATGGTGTGGTCTTTGGGAATTCCTAGGGACAGCAACTGAAGGTGGGTTTGGGAGAGAGGAGGCCTGGCTAGTGGGTAAAGAATGAAATGAGGAGGTGGCTGGAAGGGCAGACGCCCATCTCTGGGGCGGAGGGCATGTGATGGGCAAGGAGCACAGATGCCCAGGTTCCTCTCTGTTCATGACTCACTGTCTTTTCTTCCTCTTCTACATTGCTCAACTCCCGATCTCCCTGGGAAATACCTCCTTGACTGAGGACCAAGTCAGTACCTCACAGAGGTAATTGAGTCATGAGGGGTGGAGAAGAGGGAGGGAGAGAGGATAAATAGCAGCCTTGCCACTCTGGCTCCTCTCTGCATCCTCCCCACCTTCCCAACAACATGCATCTTGCCAGTTTGGTCAGCTCCTGCTCCCTCCTACTGCTTTTGGCGGCCCTGCCAGGATGGGCAGCCAGTGATGACCCCATTGAGAAGGTCATTGAAGGGATCAACCGAGGGCTGAGCAATGCAGAGAAAGAGATGGGCAAAGCTCTGGAAGGCATCAACAATGGACTCACCCATGCTGGAAGGGAAGTGGAGAAAGTTTTTAATGGACTCAGCAACGTTGGGAGCCAGGCCAGCAAGGAGGTGGACAAGGGCGTCCAGGGGCTCAACAGCGGCTTGGACAAGGTAGCGCATGAGATCAACCGTGGCACTGGACAAGCAGGAAAGGAAGCAGAGAAGTTTGCCCATGGGGTCCACAACGCTGCTGGACAGGTTGGGAAGGAGGCAGATAAAGTGATCCATCATGGGGTCAACCAGGCGGGAAATGAAGCAGGGAGGTTTGGCCAGGGGATCCACTATGCCACAGGGCAGGCTGGGAACGAGGCTGGAAGGATTGGCCAGGGGGCCCACCATGTGGCTGGGCAGGCTGGGAACGAGGCAGAGAAGTTTGGCCATGGGAT